ATAGTGAATCTATTGTATGTTGTTGTTCAATAAAATGTTTTTTTACTATTCTTCACCTTACAGTCAAAACCAAATCACCATCTGGCCAGTTTTTGTCATTGATAACAAAATCTTACAAAACTAGTAAACAACATTATATATATATATACATATATATATTGAGCACTAACATATAACAGAATCACTGTCATGTTCATAGTTTTTTTTTTAAAAAAAAAAAAAAGAAAAAAGGAAATGAATTTATGTAAAATGGATGTAAGGGAACAATTAACAACAGTACAGACCAGTAATACAACATGATTTTTTTGGTTTTTAAAGAACATGTACAAAAAAGCTTAGAAGAGTAAATCCTGCTGCAATGTATATGCTTAGGTACTTAACAGCTCATATTTCTGGGTTCTACACTACTACCATATTTCCCTGGGAGGGAAGTGTCTGAGGTGCTCTTGGATGCTGAATCAAATGCTTCTACCAAGTTAAGAAGGCAAGAAAATAAACTTGTCTGATATGACAGATGCTACTGACTGATTGAAAAGTTGTCACAGTGGCTTTTCTAAAAGCTCAAACACATGCTTTGCAAGCCAGCCCTTGATACCTCACCTAAGTGAGTTAGGTGCTTGAGCTGCCAAGAGCTCAAACCTCAACACTGACTTGTGAGCTAATGTTAGATGTAGTCTATTTTTTTCTCAAAGGAAAAGGAGTAACAAAAGCTCCAAGGTTTCTCTTGGGGAATGCTTCACCTAGATACATAATTTCATAGCTACACATCATGAGACATGTGAAAATACATGTATTCCCCCTGTGCAGCTACACACATGTGGAATGTAAATTTAAATGCTTGTTGAAGAATAAATTCTGCACATTTTACACAAGAAAATACATAGAGGAGACATGTGTAGGTACACAGAGGGTACCTGTGAAACCTCTAGGTGTTGCATCACATTTTGCTACATAGTTTTGCACACAATGCAGGACTAGGATTTCTTGGATGTGATCAAAAACATATTTGTGAATAGGTAAGATCACTAGAATATGGGATATGTTTAGATTCTAGGGATATGGAGACCAGGAGCCATTTCTTTGAAGAGCTTCTGTCCTTCAGGCCTAAAAAGTGTGATTGGTCTTTGTGAGCCACTTGCTTCTGTCTGGCAAGTGACCTCACTAATGGTCTGAGAAAAGATGTGGGCACAAGGGCCAAAGGTGAGAAGTGGGTTCTTATGCAGCTCAAATGCCTCAGAAACCTCTCCTGAGAGCCAGATGAGTGCTGGTCCTATCTAGGGAAAAAACTAGATGTCCACAGGACCAGCAAAGCTTCACACAGCTCTTTTATATCCCTGTGCTATCTAGAAGCAACACACTCAGCTTTTATCCTCTACCAAACAGTGCTTTCACTCTTGAGAACCCCTCAGCAAGAGTAAAGCAACTGGGGTATGGAGGAAAGGTGCTAGTGATGAACTTTGGATGAACAATGAAATAAAGCCACTGATGAAAACTAGCAAGGAAACTAGACTTCCTCTAGATAGGGAAGAAATCACCAAGGTTAATTTATATTGACCAGTTATTGAAGAATCTCCAGATAAGAGAGTCCAGAATATCCTTAGTGAGGTATTCAGACTGTAGTGGTTTATTTTAATGATGCTTCAGAGAGGGGAAAGTGTCCAGGGAGGTCTGGTCTTCCATTTATATTCTAAGCCTTCACTCTTCCTTCTCTATGAGCATATTTATTCAGTAGAGGTTAAACCTAACTTTGTATCTGTAAATCTCTTGGTAATGATGTGTTATTACCTTCACATTTTATGGCTATGGTTTACAACAGGCTGTATCATGTATAGCTCTTGACTGAGCTATGAGTTGTTTACACTTATAATTACAATACCTTTGCAGTCCCATGGTACTTGCTGAGTACTCAGGGGCTGACAGTCTTGGTCACTGGGTGTTAGCTTCATGTCATCAATTCAAAAATCTCAAGCTGTTTCTAATACTCATAAATGTATGTTTCTGATCATGAATTTCTGCATAGAAGACCTCAGGTAACCCCTCCTAATTGACCCCCACTAGGAACCAAAGGTGGAACTTTTGTAGCAGAGGTAGATGCAGGTGAACAGGTGAATCTGTGATTTTTCAGGATTTAATATGATCAATTCTCAAACCAACCTGTCAGTCTTTTTGGGACTGTTCTGCATTTGACCCTATTTGAAATCTACCTGAGCTGGCTTAGACCACAGTCTTTCTGCTTCCTTGTGTTGTACTCAAGAAAATTTCAAGGACACTATTGTGGAGTTTGAAATCACAATTGAAGAACTCAATCTCATGCTTAAGCTTGATCCAGAGCACTTTCCAAGCCAGACTCTCAAAGACTGATTTTTTTTAATGTATATCAGGGAAGGTTCAGTATTCAGCTTATCCATGATGAATAGTGAGATAGCTAAAGCCAATGACCAATTATTTTCCACTAGTAAATTATATTCTTCATAATTTGATTGTGGTTAGCCTGAAAATGAACTGAATCAAACACTCAAAGTGACTCATTTCATGTGTTTTCCATCCCATGTTTTCATGTGGTTTGCAACTCACAACACCTCAATTATGGACTGGGGCACAGACACACAAAATATAATCATGCACTGTTTGAACCCTAGGTATTTTGTTGCCCTATAACACAATGAGGATGTTGATAAGACTTGCAAGTGCAGAAAATGGAAAAAATTTAGGGGAAGGCTGCTGTTAGGTCTACCTCAACACTACAGTTGAGGGGTTTAGAGGATTTAAGGACTGGAGGGAGGGGGGAAAGGTAGTCTGTGAAGGGTGAAATCAGCACAGACTACAGACAGGTGAACTCTTATGAGAGGATTTTGGGTATGGATTGGGCTATTGAGAATCACTATTGATTCTCTTGGTCAATTGAGTGTTTATTTAACACACTGAGTCCACAAAAAATGTGCCCAACATGGGGAGTGTACTTCTTTCCAAGTGTCTCCAGCAAAAATCACTTCTTTGACCCAGCTTTGTCCCCAGAGTATGCATCACTGAGGCATTAGGCCCAGTCCAGTCACTGAGAGGTTCTCACAAGATACTGGTAAGCATGTCTGGTGGTGAAATTTTGGGGAAAAGAAAAAAAAAAAGTGATTTTCTGCAGAAATGTGTACACTCCCCACATTGGGTGCATTTTCTGTGGACTTGGTGACACTGTTGGTCAAGAATAAGAATCTTTGTGAGACAGTAGTCACTCTAGATTCTGTGAGTTTGCAACCCAGCAATTACCCATACTCAGTTGGGTTTAACTCCCTGTCACTCCTTATCCTGGAGTTCTCTTCCCAGAGTCTTTCAGGAAAAGGGTAAAGTCTGTGGAGAAGGACCCAAGACCTTGTACAAAGATAAATATAAAGATATGAGAAGGAAACAGAGATGATTTCTCTGAGGGATAGTGCACCAGACTACTTTTGTAGTCAATTATATGAATCCCAATTCAAGAAGAAGACTCAAATATTCCTTTATGAATATTAAGTCAATTTTTTATTGCAGTGTAAGAATGTGGAAGGGGGGAAAGGGGCAGGGATCTGAGAGGAGAGTTTATATACCTTTCAGATCCTTAGTAGAAAAATTGCCCTTTCTCCTATCTTTATATTATGCTAGCACAGCCTCATTGGTCACTATTTCCCTTTTACAGGTTCTTATGATGACACTTGTATTCCTTTGTCTTAATCTATGTCTACTCATATTATGTAATCTACATATGGGCCCTTGACACTGAGCCCTGAGCTGTAGTTTTAACTCAATGTACATATGCTTATACATATGTTATTTAGTGTAACTGTTACACTATATGTAACATATTGTTGCAGTCTGTGGGACTGCTATGCAGTCCTCAGGGCTGACAGAAAACCTGATGTATCCAAAATTGTGAAGAGGGCTAAAGACCCTGGGACTCCTCCATTACATGAATAAATGTCATGATTCTCCTAAATTCCAAAATTCTGGTGCCCTTCCACATCGGAAATATGAAGAAAGGCTTGGTGGAATGAAGCACAAGGTTTCAAATATTTTGTTGTATTGTTTTTCAAATGAATGTAACACTTTACCTACACCACCTCCCAAGGCAGAAGTAGTACAATCACTCCTCTTGTGGATAGTTTCCTTCTGATAGGTTCCAAGGAAGAAATTTAGAGAAAAAGAGTAGAATGTGACAAATGCCCATAAACATGGTCAAGTCCCTTCCAATGTGCCTGTTTTGCATAAGGAAAAGAGGTTGGCACTTCTATGACTTGCAAATGCGAGCAGTGTTGGTAACATACAGGGACCCTATGTGTTCCCATCAACAATACCTATACCTGCCCACATTGTGAAGTGATAGAGGGAATGGAAAAAAGAAGGTAATTCATCAGAGATTACCATCCTCCAAGTCTCTGTCAAGTCTCAAGATCACAACCATAGCCCAAGTACTCATAATTAATTACACATGCAGTCTCCATTTGCCAGGCCCGCAATGTCTGAAAAAAAAAAAAAATGTCTGGGGCTATGGAAAGTACAAAGGGGTGCCTCTGTACCCATTGTAGCCTCAATGTCAGGGGCCCTGCAAATGGACAATGTGATATGTTATGCATTTAGTTGTAAAATATGTAAAGTACAGCCTGTAAGCAAAATGATTATTTGTTTCTCAAACTTCCAAAGGTCTAAAAACAAACAAACAAAAAAAAAAAAAAATGGTTCATCCAAATCAGAATAAGAATGTCTTTTTTTCTTTTTTTCTTGTTTGTTTGTTTGTATGAGCTAGGGACCTTCACCTGTCCATTAAACATATCGTTTGTTCTAACTTGACAAGTGTATGAAGTGTAAAGGGCTGAAGCAGTCTGATTTTTTTTTTTTTTTTTCTTAGACTAGTTGTGATTTAATTTGAATTCATCAACTATACTGACAGTTAAGGAATTTGGCCCGCTGAGATTGTTTTCTGAGTGTCGTAATACGTACATAATCATAACTTTTTTATCTGCAACCACTGTCATGACAACGTGGCCGAGCGGTTAAGGCGATTGACTAGAATATTCCTTCTAAGGCCTCTTGGTCTACCATCAATTAGGGTTTCCCTGCGTAGGTTCAAGTCCTGCCGTTGTCGTTTTTTGTTGGCATTTTCGAAAGCTTATGCAGCAGCCAGATTTTTTGAAACCTAAACTGGCCCCCGGTAGGTTGCGTATCTCACAGGTTATGAGCCCCTGCCTTTTGGGCACAAAGATAGCAGTACGTACTATATACTGTATGTACAACATAAGCAAATGTTGAAGAGTGAGCAAGTCTACTGATAACAGAGTCTAAATTTTGTGAAAAGATCTTTCTCCTGAAAAAAAAAAACCTACTGATACAAAACTTGTAATTATTACCCATAAATAGAGATCCAAATTTTTTTGAAAAGAAAAGAAAAGAAAATCAAGAGCACATTGAAAAAAAAAAAAAAAAAACTAATCTGATGAATCTACAACAATATTAGATGTTCATTAAATGTGGAACACACACACACAGAGAGAGAGACACCAAAAAAAAAGTAACAATATAGATTGATAGTTTTTTTTTTTTTTTTTTTTTTTTTTTTTTTTTTTTTTTTTTTT